CTTGGCAAAATGGGAACTCATTAGATAACTGTAGTTCATACGTCAGAAATGAAGAGCAAAATGACCAATACTCCAAATAGTCCCACTTGATGAATGAAAGGCTGTTTCGTTTGTCCTGTTTAGATGTCCATACATGTGCTCGCACTACATGACAAACCTGTTTGTCCAGGCTAAATGCCTTTCAGCCTATTATGGAGGGTTTTGAATAAGCAAAATATGTCTTCAATGTGAAAAGGGAGGTTTGTTTCTACCCATAAAACTATCTGAAGGAATACAGCCTTTGAAATATTCACATCTGCAAGGCATTTTGTTCAAGAAACCAAGGTAACTAAACAAATCATGATTATAAGAAAATTCTATAGACATAAGGGAGTAGCTATAAGCAGTAGGAAGAGCAGTAGCAGCTGGGATAAGCAGTTCAGATTTTCTTTCCATAGACAAGGCTTCCTTATATTGAACAAATCATACTTATGCTTGGGCCTGTGGGCTCCCAAGTGGTTATGGGTGTTCCAAGAGATGGGTGGCACAAGATGAAACAGTAAGTTAAGGAGGAAAAAACAGAACCTTTTTTTTCCATCTAAAAGCTTTGTACTGTTTAATACATGGATTGACAGTCAATTTGCATAGAAGGCAGTCACAGAATAGTGGTCAAATTAAACTCTCAAGCTATTCTATCTGGATTTGTGTTCTCACCCTTCTATTTAAACACCATTGACCTTGGGCAAATTACTTAACCTTTCTGTGCCTCCATTTCATCACCTATAAAATTGACAATGTAATGAGTTGAACTCATAAACTTGTTATGAGGACTAAATGGGTTAATATCCATAAAACAGAACAGTGTCTGGTGCGAATCACTATGTAAATATTTATCCCATTAAGTGGAATAAAGATTACAAATAGTCATTTTTGCCAAATCCATTATGTATTTGCTACCAATTGTTATTTACATATTATCCTAAGATCCTCAGACATATTTGGAAGAAGAGACAAACATAAAACACAGAGATTGAGACCATCCTGGCCAATATAGTGAAACCCTGTCTCTACTAAAAATACAAAAATTAGCCGGGCATGGTGGCGCATACCTGTAGTCCCATCTACTTGGGAGGCTGAGGCAGGAGAATTGCTAGAACCCAGGGGGTGGAGGCTGCAAGGAGCCCAAATCGCGCCACTGTACTACAGCCTGGGCAACAGAGTGAGACTCTGTCTTAAACAAACAAACAAACTATTATTCTATTTTCAAAAGGAACTAATAAATTCAGTGTGAGTCAGTGGCTCACACAAGTCATGGTGAGTCCCTAAGTGGCACCATTCGGCAAAAAAGACACTCTTTACTGGTCAGAGATAGAAAATAAAAGGAGAACTCAGTTCAGTCATAAATTTATATACTAAAAACACAGGAAGTCACTGAGGTTCCTGTCTCAAGTATAAATTTAATTTCTCAGACCAACAGAGTCAGAGCTGGTCTGCCACACCAAGAGGCAGGGTCTCCAGGCATGTTTAGCTCTCCCAGTTACTGCCCCAGCCCTGCTGTTCCGATGTGTCTCACAGTTGCTGCATGAGGCAGCCCCACAGGGAGCCCCTGACTACCCTCCACCTGGACACACAGAGAACCACTCCCGTTCTGCCCTTTTCCAGTGTCTTCCTGCTGCTGCTGCTGTGGGAAAAACTCCAGCCTTTAGACATGGAATGGAAGCCACCAAGGTGAACCTCCTGCCCCCATGTGACCTTAATTAAATGACCCCAATTTCTTGATTTCCCTTGATTCATTTCTGCTAAATTCAGTGAGATTTTTTTCCCCCACGAATAATTTCTTTTGAAAAGGCAAGAATATTGGGCCAGGCATGGTGGCTCATGCCCGTAATCCCAGAACTTTGGGAGGCCAAGGCAGGTGGATCACCTGAGGACAGCCAACATGGCGAAACCCCATCTCTACTAAAAATACAAAACTTAGCCAGGCGTGGTGGTGCACATCTGTAATCCCAGCTACTCGGGAGACTGTGGCAGGAAAATCACTTGAACCTGGGAGGTGGAGTTTGCAGAGAGCCAAGATCGTGCCACTGCACTCCAGCCTGGGCGACAGAGCAAGACTCTGCCTCGGAAAAAAAAAAAAAAAAAAAAATATATATATATATATATATATATATCTTAGATGAGTAAATTCGTTCAACCTAATTGTTTTTCTCCTAATACCTAGTTGAGACTAGCCAAATCTGAGTTCAATTTTCACTTAATAAGCATTGAGCACCTCTGAATGTGCCAGGCATACTAAGTGGGCCAAATAAAGACCATAAAAAGCTTCAGAGCAGCACGAGTCAGGTTTTGCCACCAAGTGAGCTTCCCCCATCTGCTGTGCAGAAAGGATTTATAGGGGGAGAAAGACATTAAACAAGCAATGGCAGAAGTGATAAATGCCATCAAAGAAGAACGAAAAGATGCTGCCCCAGCTTACAGCAGAGGAACTGAACCTGAGGTCATGGAAGAGTAACCCAAGTGGAGACTTGGAGGATGGGTTAATGTTAACCAGGGGAAGGAGAGAGGAGGGTGTCCTGGGCCCCAGTGCAGAGATGGTGACTGCGAGGATATGGTGACTGTGAGGATGTGGGGGCAGCCTGACCATGGAAGGTTTTATGGATTTGCATCCTCATGCCTAGTGAAATAACAGGTTTTAAGAAAGAGAATAGCCTCAGCTGACCTGAATTTTAAACAATCCTTTTGGCCGCAGTGAGAGAAGCAAGTGGACAGATGGAAACCGATTAGGAATCTGTTCTGAGCCTAGGCTAGGGGTAATGGAGATTTAACCCAAGTGGTGCCAGTGGAACTGAAGAGAAGTGGAGAGATTGAGACACTCAGGAGACAAAGCCATAGGACTCAGTAATGTAGCATTTATAGGAGGTAAAGAAGAGGAAGGCTCCTGGCTTCTGGTTTGAACACTAAGATGGTTGGTGAAGTCCTACACTGAGAAGCAGGGTTAGGGGGTACAATGATGAGTCTTGGTCCAGAAATGCTGCTTCTGAGGTGCCAGGGAGACATCCGAGGGATGCAGCGCCTGGATGCAGGGGACGAGCAGGGAAGAGACGTCCACCTGGAGCCATCAGCATCAAGGCTAATCACCTGGCAAGTGTGTGAAGAGTAAATGAAAGACAACCAGCACTTGACAGACAGTGGAACTGGCAGGCCAAGGAGACTGTGAAGAAGCAAGCAGGGAGCGGGGAGGTGAGCAGGGCGAGTATGGTGTCACAGAATCAAGGTCAATGAAGACGCTGGCTGAAGTGTCCCTGGATTTGGAGTCCTGTACCTCATTTGCTGGCTGCTTCAGTGAGAGTATTTCAGGGGAGGACTGGGGCATGGAAGCCAGTTTGCAATAGGTTGAAAAGTGAATGGGAGGAAAAAAAAAAAAAAAAAAAAAGAACTCTCAAGCACAGACAAATTTTTCAAGCAGTTTTTGGGCTACTGAAGGAAGAAGAAAGAGGGTGATGTCTGGGGAGGACATGGGGTCGGGATGGTTTGTTTTGGGAGAAGAGAAATAAGTACATTTCAAAACTGATGAGAATGAGTCTGTAAAGGAAGGACAGTTAAGGATGGGAGAGAGAGGGGATAATGACTAACAGAAGGTTCCTGAAATGAGCAGAGGGGCTGAGATCCACAGTGGAGGGAAGGAATAACACTTCTTCCATGGCGGCAGGAAAGCAGGGGAGAGGATGGGGTGAGAGGATGGGTCTGACATCTACAGGTATACAGATCTTTTGGTGGGAGGGTGGAGTTCTCACTTAATGGCTTCCAGCTGCTCTGTATGGTAGTTGGCAAATCAACTCTGAGAGTTAATCAGTGGGCAGGGGTTAAGGTCTGAGGGGAGTGGAGGAGGTCTGAAAGGACTGTTGTGTAGAACAGGAGCAAGACCTGGTCTGGGTGACATGCTGAGCAGTACGCAGGCCCTGCCAAGGGTGAAAGCATGATCCACCCATGGTGGCATCAGGCCACCATGATGTAACCTTGTCACTCAGCCTTAGCAACTTGGGTGCAGTGGGTGGCTGGCAGATGGCTGGATACATGCAGAGCTGGGGTGTGTCCTGGTAAGTGTATCGAAAGGAGAGGCTAAGGAGTTTAGGATATTGGCAGGAGGGTGGTTAAAGGAATGAGCCATGGAATCTACGCTGGATAGAAAAGAAGTGCAAGGAGGGAAGTGGCCAGTGGTGGAGGAGAAAGCCAAAGGAAAGGGTCTTAAGGAGACGAAGTGGGTAAATTTGCAAAAAGGAACAGTGGGGGTTACAATCAGGCTCGTGCAGTCAAGGGACACTGGGCTTACCAGGGATAAAGATAAAAAGCAAACGAGACCATTTCTGCCAAATTAAACTACTTGCTAAGACCAGACTTTCCCCCAAGAAAAGGGAAAGAAATGCAAAGAGCAGCATAGGGAATTAATGGAATTGTCATAACCCCATTTCTTCATGATTAGGTAGGGCATTACACAAAGAATACAGAATCCCAATACATTTTTAGAAATCTTGCTTTGATTTCTCACTAAAAAGGCCACATTCCTATAATGAATGACTTAAGAGAGAAGAGACTTAAGAGGACTTAAGAGGAAGACAGAAGTTGCTAATTTGGGATTTGGCTTTGAATTCCAATAATCTCTGCCATGAACTTACCATATGATTTAATAATGGGATTTTTAAAATGTAATGTTTATTCACCACTTCCTAAATGCCAGGCACTATCCTGAGTGTTACATGTTGATTTCGTTCAATCTCCATGACTCTGAAGTATGTACTTGTATTGCCCCTGTTTTACTGATGGGGAAACGAGACGTAAAAGACATTAAGTAGGTTTACCAGTATTCTTACTTTTTCAGCTAAGGGTGATAATGCCAGTTGGTACATTGTAAGGCATGAACCATAAAAATGATGGTACAATTCACGTAAAGTTCACCTAAATTCTAAATAATTTTGATTACATGAAGGATTTGATTTAAAATGTTAAAAAATCTCAATACAAACCTAAATTTCTCCGAATCAGCATGCACTCCTTCTCCTTTGCAGAAAAATGGCTTCTGCTTGAAATGCCAAAGTCAAAGCAGTACTTATTCTTCCCCATGTCAAACAAAGTACAGTTAAAAATTGTCCTCCTCTCTCCCAAGGGCAGGCTGTTTTCAGCCAAGTGAATGATCCTCTTCCCAGGGGATCTGGGTGCCTCCTTGAAGACAGTGACCACTCCTTGGACGAAGGTGCATGGTGGAGGCAGCACCATCACCTCTACCCCGGACTCACATGTGAGTTCTGGCACCATCACCAGTTTGTATCCAAATTTCTGGGCCAGGTCAATGGGTCCTGTGGAGGTAATGACTGAGTCTCGCCCAAGCAGCTTCAGCACCACGGTGACATATGCTTCTGGCCCCACGGGTGCACAGCCAAACTCAACCCACTGACCTTGAGCAAGTTGTGCCCTTTTGCTGGTTCTTATTTCCAGTGGCTGTCCTGAATTTCTTCTTGCCTCAGGAAGACTGTTGGTGAAGATGACATCCACTACAATGTCGGGCTTGTCCACAGGAAATGGGCACAGTGGTTGACTGGTAAATAGGCCCACTTGGAAGGTGCCTTCTGCTGCCTTGGCACTCCTATTCAAGTCAACGTGAAAGACCGGCCATTCCACCTTCAGAAAGGCACTTTTCTCCCACCAGGGGAATGGAGTGCTGTTGTCTGTTGCTTCTGGAATCATTGTGAACCAGTAGTCACCAGCCTCCTTGAAATAGAAGCACTCAAACTTGAGTGTTCCCTGGGACTGGTTGGTCAAGAGGTATTTGGCAGTTACAGTCTGATTGGTGTTGGCCTCCAACAGCAGGACAGATACATTCCTCAGTGTCCCATTAGCACCATCAAAATACTGGAAATCCACATACACTGTGTCGTTGCTTAGTGCTACATGGCCTGGCTCTCTCAAGAGGAGATATTCAGCTTCTCCAAGAACTGAAATGAAGTGGTCAGAATTGGTTTTTAAAAGGTGCATTTGAGAAGGACTATTGGTGACATTGATGAAAACAGAATTAAAAAAAAATTTTTTTGAGACAGGGTCTCATTCTGTCACTGAGGCTAATGTGCGGTGGCACAATCACTGCCTGCTATACTCCCAACCTCTTGGGCTCAAGCGACCTCCCACCTCGCCCTCATGAGTAGCTGGGACTACAGGCACATGCCACCACACCCAGCTAATTTTCTTTTTGTAGAGATTGGTCTCAAACTGCTGGGCTCAAGCAATCCTTCCACCTCAGACTCCCAAACTGCTAAGATTATAGACATGAGCCACTGTACCCAGCAGAAAACAGCATTTTAGACAAGAGAAGGTAGAACTGAGCCAGGGATGATGTAAAATGATACTGAGTACAGATCCTGGAAGCTGGCCATTGTGCTCTTTCCATTCTGAAGTGATTCTGTTCCTTCTTCATGTTTCATAGTCATGTTAAAATAATTAGTGGTAAATACTCCGAATTCACCACATTCAACAATGTGATATATCTGCAATGAAAATCTATACAGCTTGAATAATAATTTTTAGGATTAAAAACCCAGTAGCTCATATTGTTAATCATATTCTGATGTTTAGATATTTGGGGAAAATGGATATACAGTGAAGAGAAAGCTGGATCTAAATGACACAATACAAATTGTTCTGGACTATTTTAAATGTAAAACCCTAAATTTACTTCAAAGTTATTATTTTCTGATATTCAAGAGAAGCACTGGGGAATTTTTACCAGTAAAGGAATCAGTGTCCTCAGTTGTATGAGGCAGACATATTTAGATGGATAAGAAATGTTGACACTTTATTCTGCATGGATAACCAAAGGGATAGGGTGAACATTTATGAAATAACTAGGCTTGTCCTTGGCAATTTAATGACATTACAGCAACTTGTATTTGCCTAGATAGGACAGATGACTACTACTTCTCAAGTATCATTCTGTTAGGATCAATCATATCTTTTAAAAAGAGACCCAGCAGAGCAGCTTAAGTGAAAAGTGCAAAGAACAGACACACAAGAATTCTTGTTTCTATTTTGAATCCTATCCAAATACATATCAAAGGAGGCAGAATTTGGCAATGCAACAGTCAGCTGGCCCGTGGCTAGGGTAAGAAACAGTTCTAGATGTAAGGGACTGAAGTTCCCTTTAGGTTTGAAAAACAACTTGTGTAAATATGAATTTTTTTTCTTATTATATATGCCTCATGAATATATATGTCCAAAGGGGCCCATGTGTTTTTTTGTTTGGGCTGGTAGTCTTTAAAATACCCTTATATATAAGCAATCAATGATTATTAGAATCAGCACATGAATATCCTGGCACACAGAAGAGTTTTTAATTAGCACAGCATTTCACCTAGTTCTCATTTGAGATGAGATGAAATAAAAGACATGAAACTTGGATGACTTGAATGCTTGATTATCACTTGTTTGAAAACCATAATCGGATAAAGTTCTTTTTTTCTCCAATTAAGCAAAAACAAGTTGTGGGATATTCCCTTTTGTTTAGAGATGACTCAAAGTTGAGGAAGGTGGCTGATTCTGGTGCAGCTTGTATACTGATTCAGACCCAACCTGGTACCTTTCTTAAACTGCTGGGTAAAGAGACCCCAGCACTTACCACAGCCCAAGGAAGTACTTAAGACTGAGAACAAAGTCATACTAATTTGGATCTGAAGGGGGCAGGATGGTTCTGTGGTCCATTTAAGAATAAGAGGCATGCACCACTTAGTTAACTAATGAAAGTCTATTGCAGGCTGGTCCGATGGTAGCAGGTTATCAGAACTTACTAACAGTAGTGTCACCAAAGTTGGTATATGACCCCCAACTACTAAATTTGACTGGCTAAAAAAAAAAAAAAAAAAAAGCAGTCTATTGTGTATGACAGGGATTGTCAATGAAGCAAATCAGATTCTGATTTGATGGGAGACAGTCAATGAGAAAGACACACATGCCCCGTTGGAAATGGAGAACAAAGATGCAATTGATGGGTTCCAGCAGCAGCAGATAGGAGGTATGTACTAGAGGGAGAATTTGCTACTTTAGAACTCCTGTTAGAAAACTACAATTTGGGCCGGGCGCGGTGGCTCACACCTGTAATCCCAGCACTTTGGGAGGCCGAGACGGGTGGATCACCTGAGGTCAGGAGTTCAAGACCAGCCTGGCCAACATGGTGAAACCCTGACTCTACTAAAAATACAAAAATTAGCTGGGCATGGTGGTGGGCGCCTGTAATCTCAGCTACTCGGGAGGCTGAGGTAGGAGAATTGCTGGAAGCTGGGAAGCGGAGGGTGCAGTAAGCCGAGATTGCGCCACTGCACTCCAACCCGGGCCAACAATAGCGAGACTCCATCTCAGAAACAAACAAACAAACAAACAAACAAAAAAAAACACTACAATTTGGTTCTACCACATCCTGACTACTATAGTATACAGGTAATGGTATATTTTGATCAGTATTAAGTAGAGATAAAGGGGGGTAAAACAGATCTATGACAATACCTACTTTTTTAATTTTATTGGTGGCTTGTGCACTCAACTTCTATGCTCTTTTTTATGCTCATTCAACTTTTATTTTCATATTCCAGTAAGAAATTTTGCTCTTAACAACACCCTTGTATAATTTGTTTAAATGGAGAATTTCAATGCTTTATTTATCATTATGAAACCAAGAACACATACTTTTTGTAGAAGGCTGTCACATGTAGAATAATCTGTGTTTTTTTGTTTTTGTGTTTTTGTTTTTTTTTTTTTTGAGACAGACTTTTGCTCTTGTTGCCCAGGCTGGAGGAGTGCAGTGGCACGATCTCAGCTCACCACAACCTCCACCTCCCGGGTTCAAGCGATTCTCCTGCCTCAGCCTCCCAAGTAGCAGAGATTATAGGTGCGTGCCACCACGCCCAGCTAATTTTTGTATTTTTAGTAGAAACGGGGTTTCACCATGTTGGCCAGGATGGTCTCAATCTCTTGACCTCATGATCTGCCCCCGCTCGGCCTCCCAAAGTGCTGGGATTACAGGCGTGAGCCACCGCATCCAGCCAGAGTAATCTGTTTTTAAAGAAGGGATACATTACATTTCTTTTTTGTTTGATTTGTTTTGTTTTTGAGACAGAGTCTCACTCTGTCACCCAGGCTAGAGAGCAGTGGCACGATCTCGGCTCACTTCAAGCTCCGCCTCCCGGGTTCATGCCATTCCCTGCCTCAGCCTTCCAGGTAGCTGGGACTACAGGCACCCGCCACCACGTATGGCTAATTTTTTTTGTATTTTTAGTAGACGCAGGGTTTCACTGTGTTAGCCAGGATGGTCTCGATCTCCTGACGTTGTGATCCACCCACCTCGGCCTCCCAAAGTATTGGGATTACAAGCATGAGCCACTGTACCTGGCCAAATTACTTTAAAATAAATGAATCCCACATTGGCTTTCCTTAAAACCGGAGTCTTCTTGTATAAATAAACTTCTTAAAAAAGAAAAGACTGAGAAAGGAAGTCTACTGAATGAAATGAACAGCAGTGCTCTGGTCCATTTAACCAACTGTGCCATTCACATTACACAAGCCAGTGTCCTCTATATCTTGGATCAAAATTTCTTCACCAAATTCAAAAACAACTTCCACTCCCATACCATCAACTGCCTAGATGTCTATGAAATATTTGGAAATCATCAAAAGAAAAGTAGTGAAGATTACGTCATATTGTTGATTCTATTGGTTCAGTAGTTGTATAAAGCTCTCTGAGAAATGAACTCAATTTTTAGTTGAAACGAATGAAGAGAACAGACTTTAAGTACCTACTATCTGCTCATTCAGGGTGTTTCGCATTCTTGATATTATCATAACAACCCTGTGAAGTCAATATTATTGCTGAGATTGAAAGAGATGAAGAAACTTTTCTAAGAGCACGCAACTTTCAAGGATTGAAATTCAGATTGGTTCCAAATACACGTTAGCACCAAAACTCTGTCAAGTGAAATCTTATGTAGAACCCTAATATACACAACATCATTGCATGTGTGTATGAAGTGATTTATCACACTGAATTACAGGGAAATCAAAGAGAACTCAAGGTAACATGCTTGCCTCCAATTTTTTAAAATTTGAGAGAGTTGGTTTTTTTTTTTTTTTAAAGAGTTAAAAATATAAAGTGAAATATGAATCAATCATGCAGAATCACTGAAGCATGAGAGAATCCAGGGTTGCAAGGGTCACGGTTTAGAAAGCACTGCACTGTAGACCCTACCCTCCCTCCTTCATGAAGAGTCATCAACATCAATGCATTTACAAATGTCATATTTATGTTTTATTCCTACCAATAGCATTAAGTATACTCACAATACTCACCATAGTCACAGAGCACCACCAACAATAGATTTGAAAAGTCTTTCAACATTGGTTTCATTCTGATCGGCAAAATCCCAGGTCTTTAGTCTCCTCATGTCCTTTCTCACGTACAGATTGTGATTTTTTTCCTCAAAAACACCTGAAATTAGAACCTCAAAAAATGATGGCTCCATTCAATGTGATTGATAAAATAGTAATCATGAAATGACAAAACCATTCTAAAACTCAAACTTCCTAAGTGATATTGAAAGGAAACTAGAGAGGACATTAATTTTCCCTGGGGCAATGACTTACAATTATACAAGCCCCTTTCATTCCATTATAACTCACAGGTCAAGAATATGCAGGTATGCCCAACACCCACTAAGATTATCTTTGCACAACACCAAAGTCTCTTCCCTTTATAGCACATCCTTAAGTGGAGAGTTTATTGTTATTTGCTTAATTTTATCAAAGTTAATAACCAATTTGGATACATTTTCACATTATTTATCTGCTTGGCATTTCACACTGATAAATTTACTAAATTTCTGCTAAACTTTAATTTAGCATTGTGCTATATATACTCAAATGCTCCCTGCCTGGCGTCCACAAATGGGCTAACACTTCCTTGCACAATTGGTGTGTTACCAGGATTGCTTCATTTATCGATTCCTAGGAGCTACATCCAAGCGATCAAAGCTTTTTTAAAAAAAGATACTCCAGAATACTACAATTAAATGTGAACTCCATGTGGCCCTCACTTCCCTTGTTTAGGGCAGCCTAAGGAGAAAACAGATAAATAACACTCATCTTCATCAGTCCTGAAATACTTGTTGCTGCTGGTATGCATCATGAGACTGGTGGTTCACACAGCAATCTTCCCAGTCTACCTAAGAGGGCAGGGAAGACCTTGCTGGCCTGTGGTTCACAGCTATTTGTTGGAAGAGGCACTTATTTTATTTAATTAATTTATTTATTTAGAGATGGAGTCTCGCTCTGTCACCCAGGTTGGAGTGCAGTGGCGAGATCTCGGCTCACTGCAAGCTCCACTTCCTGGGTTCACGCCATCCTCCTGCCTCAGCCTCCCAGGCAGCTGGGACTACAGGCGCCCACCACCACGCCCACCTAATTTTTTGTATTTTCAGTAGAGACGGTGTTTCATCGTGTTAGCCAGGATGGTCTCGATTTCCTGACTTCGTGATCCGCCCGCCTCGGCCTCCCAAAGTGCTGGGATTACAGGCGTGAGCCACCGCGCCCGGCTGGAAAAGGCACTTATTTTATATAGACTATTCAACTATAGAATAAGATACTGGGCATTTAAGATAGTTCTTTCATATTAGAGTCTAACAAACTATGTATTAATATTAAATACAACCAAATATATATTTTCTTAATGTTGATGGTCCCCCCCATTATTCACAGTTAATCTTTTTTTTTTTTTTTTTTTAAGACAGAGTCTTGCTCTGTCACCCAGCCTGCAGTACAGTGGCATGATCTTAGCTCACTGCAACCTCTGCCTCCCAGGTTCAAGTGATTGTCCCACCTCAGCCTCCTGAGAAGCTGGGATTATAGGTGTGCACCACACTCTTGGCTAATTTTTGTATTTTTAGTAGAAACAGGGTTTCACCACGTTGGCCAGGCTGGTCTCAAATGTCTGACCTCATGATCTGCCCACCATGGCCTCCCAAAGTGCTGGGATTACAGGCGTGAGCCACCACACCCAGCCCACAGTTAATCCTTTTAAGAAGCCAGAATATTATATTCCAAATACATGTTACATCTCTTCAGATAAGAGCACAAATTAGTGGAATTAAGAAGACTGATTGAAATAAGCCAAAATTCAATGGAAGGGAAACTGGTGTGTCCTATTAGCTTTCTTCCATTAACAGTGGGCTGAACAAAGGAAATACTGTACTTCCTGAAAGGGAAGCAGAGATTTGAAGTGTAACTATGCAGACGATTAGGGCTCCCTCCTCTTCCCCGCCACCCCTACCCCCCAAAACAAAAAGAAAAGGGAAGAAGAAGAAAATTGTTTTGGGTGGAATTAGCCACAGATTTGACCCAATTCTTTCCTTGAACATGGACTGGGAAACCTGGCCAAAGTCAGCCAGTAAGATCCTTGCAGAAAGCATCATATCACTTGGGCAAGTGTGAGCACTTAAAGACAATTACAATGCTTCTTTTAAGTCACTGAGACCTGGTAACCAAACCAAGGAGAAGCAAGCTCCCAAAAGTTGAACTGGCTTCTCTCAGATTTGTTTGCTTCCACCACAATAACCTTTTTATTTTTGAAGCCCCAAATCATAACTGATTTTGTGATAACACATTTTCTTTCTTACGAAAATGATCCCTAAAACATAGAATGGTGAGATAATCTATATTTAGAGCTGAATGGAAAAAGACTTATAAAACAGACCAGCCTACTTGTCAATCATAATATGGAATATGATCATAACATTAGTCATAATATGTCTCTTTAATTTCTTTCTACCTTGCTTGCTTATTTTCTTTCAACTTGTTGTTCCAGATCCCGACTGACTTCTTATAATGTTTGGCTTGAGAATTGTTCTAGGAAATTAAGAACTTAGGTATATTTTATACACATTTGAAAATACTTCTACATAGCATTCTTGTATGTAAACTTTATAGACAAATTCTAAATGCATCAGCTGAGAAGGTGGGGAAAAGTTGTGAATATTCTCAACGGCTAACAGCATCACCCAATCTCAGACCCCATGTTTTTGCTGAAACCAGCTAGGACAAATGCTTCTAAATCTCCCTTCATAGCTGCAGAAAAAGAAAAGGAATCACACTAATGTCCATGGGACCAATGATTCGTGAAAAAATAAAAGGGAAAACGAAGAAAAGTTATTTTGTCCCTTCTGACCAACATGCACATGTTCCTGTGTATATATAGGAATAGTATTTATTGGGAGGAAATCTGTAGTTCCAAAGCAGCTCGTGTAAACAGGCTTCATTTATACGTTCATTCGAGTCTGCTCTGCCCTGGTCCCACGGGTTGGGTGCAACGTTCCTGGGACGCCGTGGCTCGCCCCATCTACTCAGCTTCCCAAATGCCCGCAAGCCCAGTTCACGCTTGGAAATCTACCCCTCGTGTCGTCAGCTGAAAGCCCTCCTTAATGAGGACCGTCTTTAATTTAATTTAATCCTTGTATCTCATACTTTTTGTATCTCAGAAGGGATTTCTTTTTGGAAAGAAACAGTAGCTCAAGACGCGATTTTTCAAGGTTCTGTGGCCAGTCTCAGTCACCCGGCAACGTCTGAGCCAGGGCAGAGCCAGGTTCAGTTAAATTCGGGACTCCGAGGTGTGGAGACCAATACTCCTTAAAAGCGTCCCCTGGAGCCGAGGCGGGGGTGTGGAGGGGCCGCCAGCGTCCACCTGCGCCTTCAGGCTGATGGGAGGTGGCAGGGTCCGGGGGCATTTCCCGACCCCAGCGGAGCCTCCGAGGGTCTCGCGGCACAGGAGCGCCCGCTGGGGCGCGGACGCCGGGATGCGGAGGGCGCTTCTTACCTTTCCAGACCGACGGGCAGCGACCCCAGGCCCGCCGGGCGAGTGGCGAGGCGGACGGGAGGCCTCAGGGGCCGCGAGGCAGCGCTCCGAGCATCCCGCGTCCCGGACTGCGCGCCCTGACCCCGCGGCGTTCGGCTCCTACAGCCCCGCCCTGGGCCGCCCCCGACGGCGTGGGAAGGGCGGGCACCGGGAGGGCGGGGGACACCCGGGACCGGGCGTGGTCGGCTCCCGCCCCTTCTGGGCAGCGCATCCTTTCCTGCCCGCCCCCAGCTCGCCAGCTGCTGGACAGGAAACAGGCAGGAAACGCGCGGCCAGCCAAGGTCCTGCGGCAGGGGGTGCGGCCCCGGCAGATGCAGGTCCCCTCAACACACACCCGCGTCCACAGCACACAGCCGGATCAGGGGTTTAACTAAGGACGAGGCAGCAATCTCCTGACACTTCACATTCAATCACTTCTACCCTAGTGTCATTTTCTTCAGGGAGACCACAAAAATTAAGTCCTTGAAGTGGCACAGCATGTGGGCTGTAAACTTGCTTTCCCAAATGTCATTGAAGAGTTTCAAAAGAACATAGTTCAGGTAAAGTGCATCTCCATTTTCCTTCCCTGGGGTCAGAATTGGTTATTAAAAATAACTAAACATTTTTAAAACCCTACTCTGCAAGTGTTAAAAGTTCTTTTTATGGGAATGTGAATTAGTTCAGCCACTGTGGAAAGCAGTTTGGAGATTTCTGAACTAAAAACAACTATCACTCGACCCAGCAATCCCATTACTGGGTGTATCCCCAAAGGAAAATAAATCATTCTGCCAAAAAGACACCTGCACTCCTATGTTTCTCACAGTACTATTCACAATAGCAAAGACATGGAATCAACCTAGGTGCCCATCAACAGTGGACTGGGTAAAGAAAATGTGGTACATACACACCACGTAATACTAAGCAACCATAAAAAAAGAACAAAATCACGTCATTTTTAGCAACATGGATGCAGTTGGAGGACAGTATCCTAAGTGGAACAGAAAGCCAAAAACCGTATGTTCTCACTTATAAGTGGGAGCTTAAACAATGGGTACTCATAGACATAAAGATGGCAACAACAGACACCGGAGACTCCAAGTCAAGGGAGGGAGGGAAAGGGGCAAGCGCTGAAAAACATCCTATTGGGTACTACGTTCATTATCTAGGTGACAGGATCAATAGAAGCCCAAACCTCAGCAACATGCAATTACCCTTGTAACAAACCTGCATATGCACCCCCAAATCTAAAACTAAAATTTAATAAAAAGTTTTAAGTTTTTTGGAAAATATGAGGATAGATTCCACCTTAACAGCTGTGCTTGTTAAATTGAGTAAATGAGCGGTATGGTTTATGACTTGCTTTTCTTTTATGCAGAATATACCATTTGGCAGCAAAACTAATATCCAGTAATGGAAATCAAAGCACAGTGGTGGCCTCTGGAGAGCGGATGACTGGAAAGAGGCACGAGGGAACTTTTAGGGGGCGACAGATATGTTCTATTGTTTGGAGTGTGAGTTACATGGATTTGCTAAGCATTTGTTAAAACTCGTTTGACTGAAGATCTGTGCATTGCAGTTTGTAAACTTTACCTCATTTTAAACATATTTTAAAATATGTGATTTGCAGATCTTTGACTCTATCACTTCATTTTTTTTAAAGGTAGCACAAGTATTTACCTATGTTACCAGAGATATAAAATTTTCTAAGAACTTGTCTTGTCAGCCAGGTGCAGTGGCTCATGCCTGTAATCTCAACAATTTGGGAAGCCAAGGCAGGAGGATTGCGTGAGCCCAGTAGTTTTAGACCAGCCTGGGCAAAATGGTGAGGCTCCATCACCACAATAAATAAGAAATTATTTGGGAGGCCAAGACGGGTGGATTGCTTGAGCTCAAGAGTTCAAGACCAGCCTAGGCATCATGGCAAAACCCCGTCTCTACCAAAAATAGAATATACTAGCTGGCTGTGATGGCACATGCCTGTGGTCCCAACTACTTGGGAGGTTTAGGCAGTAGGATCACTTGAACCCAGGTGGAGGCTTCAGTGAGCCAAGATGATGCCACTGCACAGGCTGGGTGAGACCCCATCTCAAAAAATAAAATAAGAAATTAGCCAGGTGTGGTGGCATGTACCTGTTGTCCCAGCTACTCTGGAGGCTGAGATGGGAGAATTACTTGAGCCCGAGGTTGGGGCTACAGAGAACAGTGATCACACCACTGTACTACAGCCTATGTGACAGAGTGAGACCAACCAATCTTGTCAAATAGTTACTTCTAGCAAAACTAATTAAATCCATCCAAAGTTTCAAAGAAGACTTTAAGGTGACCATCCAATTTCACTGCCAGTAGAATTATCTGGTCTAATCTCCATTCACCAATTTACACTAGGATTATTTTTCAAATACATACCACCCAGCCCCTGGCATTTCAGTTTTAAAAGCAAAAGCTCAGTGGAAAGAGCAGGCATTAGAGTTATAAAAGTACAAAAATTAACTGGTGTGGTGGTGTGCACCTGTAGTTCCAACCATCAGGAAGCTGAGGTGAGAGGATTGTTTGAGCCCAGAAGGTAGAGGTTGCAGTGAGCGGAGATTGTGCCACTGTGCTCCAGCCTGGGCAATAGAACCAGACCGTCTCAAAAAAAAAAAAAAAAAAAAAAAAAAAAAAAAAAAAATTATATGGGGGTATAAGGAACCCAGAACAGGATAAAACAATCTTGAAAATGAAGAGCATATTTGGAGGACTCACATTTTCCAATTTCAGAATTTACTACAGGCTGGGTGTGCTGGTTCATGCCTGTAATCCCAGCACTTCGGGAGGCCAAGGTGGGTGGATCACTTGAGGTCAAGAGTTTGAGACCAGCCTGACCAACAGCAAAAATCCATCTCTACTTAAAAAAAAAAAAAAAAAAACCCACTAGCTGGGGATGTTGGCACACACCTGTAATCCCAGCTACTCAGGAGGCTGAGGCAGAAGAATTGCTTGAACCCGGGAGGCAGAGGCTGCAGTGAGCCGAGAATGTGCTACTGCACTCCAGCCTGTGTGACAGAGTGAGAGATGGTCTCAAGAAAAAAGAAAAAAAAAAAAAAGAGCTTACTACAAAGCAGTAGTAATCAAGACAGTGAGATATTAGCAAAAAGATAGATATATAGCTAGAATTGCAAGTTCAGAAACTCATCTATGGTCAATTGAGTCTTTTTTTTTTTTTTTTTTTTGAGACAGAGTCTCGCTCTGTCCCCCTGGCTGGAGTGCAGTGGCCTGATCTCGGCTCACTGCAAGCTCCACCTCCCGGGATCATGCCATTCTCCTGCCTCAGCCTCCTGAGTAGCTGGGACTACAGGCGCCCTTCACCGCGCCCGGCTAATTTTTTGTATTTTTAGTAGAGACGAGGTTTCACTGTGTTAGCCAGGATGGTCTCGATCTCCTGACCTTGTGATCCGCCCGCCTCGGCCTCCCAAAGTGCTGGGATTACAGGCGTGAGCCACCGTGCCCAGCCTTGAATTTTTAAAAAAACAAAAAACTCCATATGCAAGCATATGGTCAATTGTTTTTTGACAAGGGTGCCAAGACCATTTAATGGTCAACTAATGGTGCTGGCATAACCAAATAGCCACATGCAAAAGAATGAAGTTGGACCTCCTACTTACACTGTATACAAGTAAAAAGATACACTTTTAGATAAAGCCTAGATTAAATTCCAGCCCTGACACTGCAAACCTGGGTAGATTTCTTAATCGCTCCTTCCCTTCACTGTAGAAGGCATAAAATAGTTATTGTGAAATATTATAGTGATTAAGTGAAACATATTGGAGGCAACTTTCTCTGCATTAATCTTTCAGGCACATACTTTTTCCCCAAAAACCTACTCTTCAAGGGTGGAAATCCAGGTACAAGTGATATGCTTGGTCATATTTTAAATAACAGCTTTATTGAACTGACTGGTCAATTTTGTCTCCATTAGAATTCTTGCCAAACTGTACTGCTGTCTTTATTGGACAGTTAAGATATAGTTTAACGTTTTCTAAAAGAAGTCAATATAAAAATGAAAAAAAGCTTTCAAACGAACAGTGGTATGGTCAGTATTGAACTGTAACTGATCTGGCTCTCAAAATACCTTTAATTCTCTTTCTGGGTTAGCGACTGATCTAGTAATCTTGTGCAAATTGTATAAAATTTATACACTATCTCAATAACTCTGTTTATACAAATGGAGAGAGCTTTTTTCCTCTGGGTAATGCTCTGAGATGAAAGCTATAACTGACTCATGATTTCGTATCAGGACACAAGGAAGAAGACGAATGGCCCAATTTCCACACTGTAATAACAAGAACTTACCTGTGTATATAACAACTACTCTAGAGTGCTTTCCACATCATGCACATGGCCCATGCCATATTTGAGTAAGACAGAGCAGATCTCACTCAGACAGGCTAAGCCTTGACAAGTCTGGTTGAGAAACCTTTCGGGAAGAGGGTAAAAGACAGAGTTGGTTTGCTAGGCAACTCATGCATGACTCAGTACTATAATTCAAAAATCACCCAATTCAGTTAATACTTTACTAGGAATCTACCATGTACAGTCACTGACCTAGGTCAGTGAGAATTCAAAAGAAATGTTACATGACAGTCTTTGAACGTAAACCTAGTTTCTCTATTTTCTTATGGTATCAAGACAACATTTAAGAGAACAAGACAAAATATAGTTAAGCATATGGAAAAGACAATAGCTCTTATAGAGTTTAGAAATAATAGAGCTGTCTATTGGAAACATTTCTGGAGCAGGCAGGATCGAGCAAAGCATAATTTAGATTGGTGGGGGTGGGCATGGGAGAGGGGAGGTGAGTGGGAAGAAGTAAAGAAGGGAGGTTTGGACAGACAAGGGAAATATCCAGGAGCAGGAAGGGGCACACCTCTGCTGTTCCCTTTTCCCAACACCTTCCACTTACTGACAATCTCTTGGTCTTTGTGAGCCTAGTTTACCAGGTTCTTCCTTTCCCACAAAGTCTTACAAAGCCCTCCACCAGGACTAAGGGCTCCTTCTTCTGTCCTCCCCAGCATGGTACATATGCCCCTTCCATGGTACTTACTTCATTCTATCTTCAGTGAAAGTCACTTACATGTCTGTTTCCCCAACTAGGTCTCCCTTTTCGTAAGGACAGAGCTGTATCTTATTCATCTTTTTATCCCCTCCCACTACCAGTGCCCAAAAAAATTGCTCACAAAAAATTGCTATATGTTCAAAAAAATGTATTTTTCATTGAATTGAATGGGAGCTAAAGTAGGATAAAGTGGAGCCAAATTATAAATAGGAATATAGGTCGGCGTTCATTCATTCAGTAAATATTTATTGAATGCTTATTGTGTCCAGGCCCTGTTCTCGGCTCTTAAGATACATCCATGAACAAACCAGACAAAAACCTCTGCCCTTGTGCAGCTTATACTCTAGATTGTAAGGGATGGGATTAGCAATAAATTTACATAAATTCAACCATACCTACTGGAAAAAGACACATGCATGTAAATTATTAATGCTATAAGAATCTACTCTTGATATGCAGTTTGTATTTTTGTACTTAATATAAGCATAATATATTCATACCTATGTATCACTCCACAGGAATTTAAACTTTAAGACTACAAAGAGAACTTCATTGGTAATTTAGGAGATTTTCAAGGACCATTCTGAGCATGCTCAATTTTGTCCTTAGGCACGGTCTTTAAAACCTAACCACCTTCCAAGTTGTGACTCCACTGTACCAAAATGAAGACTCTGAGACTTTTGGGCAAAAGAACCATTTTAAGTATTTGAGCATGAGAATGATGACAAGATGAATCCACATTCTCTCAGATTAATCTGGTAACAAGGAACAAGAAAGAGTACATTCATCTGAATATACATAGTCAGGCAACAGTGGAATTCACATCAAGAATTTTTTTAAAAACCAAACCAGTTCATGACATGTCCCATTCTTTTTAGACAACGAAAACAGTAACAGCTCAATGTCATAAATATTTATAAGCAACTCTTAATTATAAAATCCAAAGGAAAAATTCTTAACATAACTGGCTTTAGTATGATTAAAGGCTTATCATTTGCATATATTTTTCAGAGTATTTAAAAAGAATGCCAAGAAAAATCATTTTTAAATTTTGTAATAATTTTACTCTATATACATTAATACCAATCATTTAACCTTGAAAACACAATCTTCACTAACACAATGTAAAAAATTTTTTTGACAGTAAATGACTGGAAATATTGCATTACCATAAAGCTACAAAGAGGTTCATGCTCCTAAGAGCAAAGTTAGGAAAACAAAAAAATAATAATTATGCCAGTGATAAGCACCAAGACAGAACTTTTTTGCACTTAGGGCCTGATTGGTTGTATTTAAACATAACTTCTACATTAGGGGACCAAAATCACACCTTAAAATAATGGCCCGAAAAAAAAGATAAAAATGCACAAATACATACAAAGGTCTCAAAACAGTGACGAATGCCCACTTTAAAAATAATAAAATCAATCATACTCATTTTTAAATTAATATGGCATTTGCAAAATATATTTATATGTCACTTTTCTTCCTTCTTAAGTCATTTTATACAATTTGGATTGCTCCATTTCATCAGTTGTCACACTAAAGTAAATAAATATGTTAAATTATGTAGGTTTGCAGTAATGAATCCAAACCATTAGCGCTAGATCGAGTAGCTCCAGCAATCCTCCTTGCAACTCACTCCAACTGGTGAAACAGATTATTTATCTTTATAATTTTAAAAGCCTTAGCCAGGTGAGAGAGAGAGAGAGTGTGTGTGTTTGTGTGTACAAGTTTGCCAGAGCAGTGTGAGACAGTAAGTACCACCCAGAAAGAGGTGAGACATATAAACAAGCTTACACAATGGTCCAACTAACCCCTAAAAGACTTGGGCAGTGAGACACTGAGTTACCCTCAAAATAAACCTGAGGCTGAACAATGGGGGAACCAGAGGATCCGACACCACAATGAAGAGTCAGTGACAGGTTTGGAAAACAAAAACTAAAGTGGGATGTCTCAGGCACAGCCTTCCTGTGACACTGGAGGACACGAAACAGCAATAGCCACTTTTCAGGCAGGGATAAGGGATTGGGATCCCCTGGGTCTGCAGCGGAGGGTCCCTGGCACTTCCCAGAGGGCACTGCAGCAGCCTCTGGCAGTAGCCCTCCACCTTACCCACTGACAATGTCTTAGGGGTTCCAGAGTGTGAACCTGGGTATCCCTCTTCCTGGCTCCAAGGGTGCTCCCAATACAATACTTTCCCTCCCGCAGGCTTAGCCAAAACCATCACCACCCTTTCACTTCCAACTCAGTTTCAGAAAGGGCGTCTCCTGTCCTGTGGGGTCCCTGAGTTTGAGATAATGCCAACATACTGGAGGCTGTAGAGCAGTAACATGTGAAGTCAGGCAGTCACTTTAAAACTTAAGCAATCTACATGCAGTATTAGCCAGTTGTTGTTATCTCAGTAACACTTCTTACCGAAGTAGTTTTTCCTCACAATTTATAGTATAAAGAACAAAGAAAAAATATTGCTGGAATATGATAGACTTTTTATAGTTCAGTGTGGAAACTCCTTATGGAAAAGAAAAGGAGACATTACTTTTCCACTTTCGATCTCCTGTCTGTGGCTTTGAGGTAGAAGAACACTAAGGTTCCTGTGAAGCCATTTAAAGGCTCCCTCTGCCTTTCCACCAGCACAACAATCCCAGGGAATTCCTGAGCTGTCTACCTCCTAAATTTGTAATCATAACTCTGGGCATGTCTATACAGCCCTCTAGTTCAGTTTCAAAATCCACAGCATTTGGAAACAAAATGACACAGTTGCATTCTTTAAATGCCAGTCATGAAATCATCACTTAAAAAAACAAAGAGAAATTAGATAGAATATATATAAATATATGTGTCAAATAAAATTATTTCATTTTTAAAGGTATTTTATTTGGTATGTTGAAGACATGCCTATGACTGCTTCTAAAAGCCCCTGGGAGGAGCCTCATATAGCAAGCTGCAGTATATTTTGTCCCAACATTGTCATGTGTAGTCAGTGAATTTCAGTCACATCAAAATAATCTAACCTGTCTGAACATGCAACTTCTCTTTTTATTCTCTGCAAAACTAAATTCCCTTCTTTATAAAATGATTAGATTTGAGGATCAAGTTAAAATCCACTATATTTCAAGTTAAACTCTGAGGGTTCTGCACAACTACAGCATGATTTTAAATTCATATTGGCATTCACTTTTCTGAATTTTCCTATGCATATCCTAAATAAATTTCCTGGACCATATTTAGTGAGAAATTAAAAGAGATTTACATTGCACTGTGAAGTTCTAATAAATTCTCAGTTGATCGGGTTTATCTCTTAGCTCAATGTCATACAACCTCTACATGACGCAAGCATATGGACAAAAAGGATTTTAAATACAAAACCCTTAGCTCTGTGTCATAAATAAATTTGGGTAAAAACGCAGGCCTTCCACTGAGTCATCACGGCAAAGATGGCCCATCTTCTCTGCAAGCAGCAACCTAAAAAAAAAGAAAACAAAAAAACCCACACAATTATCTGTCCATGCAGAAACACAAACATACATGGTAATGAAAGGTAAGAACCTTACTTACCTTTCTTTGGCTAGGAGGACAGACATTCCCACAAGCTTAGCAAACTCTTCCGATGTTAGGGATCCCTTTTCTGAAACCTAATAGAAACACACAGCAGAAAAAAAATGTAATTAATTTAGGACACTAATTTAAACACACTCTGGGTTCTAATGGTAGGCAGAATGTATATGCAAGAAATAATTTACTGAATGTCCTACTAAAATTCAAAGAACATTCACACTATAACTAAATCTTAACTAATGCTTAATCCTACAAAAGTTGAAGGACCCAGAAGGGACATACTGGAGGCTCAAATATCAAGATCAAGCTCTCCATAATGTAACAAAGTCACTGTACTAAAGCCTAAAGAGAATTATGATACTCTGAAAAAGAATATGTAACAAATTCTGAGTACATATTAATGCTCCAGCGAAGGGACTTTACACATAGGTTTAGTTTAAAATATGTGGTAGAAATATCTGTAGTCTTGGGGTTTTCATCTAGTTGAAAATGAGAAGGATAATAAATAGAAGTTATTCAAATTATATAGGCTCACCATAGAAGCTATGAAGACAGTACTATTTCAAGTATCCTAATGAGTAATATTGGCAATTTGGCCAGTAAAATCCATCCAAACTACAGTTGCTTTTTATATTTTTGAAGCAATTATTTTCATAAAACTTGTGGTGTTTTATCAAGCTGCTTATGTAGGTGTTACTGGAAGAAAAAGTTTGTGTTGTAACATCTGATAAAATTAAAAACCTGTTCTCAACACTGAGTTTTAATAGAAAAGAAAGCACCTCACTAATTCTAATTATCCTTACATGTAAGATGTTAAGAGTGTCAAGAAGTTTCAAAAAGCTCTTAACGTATGACTTTGGTTAATACTGATTCATTGTTAGTGATAAACCATTTTTATTTGGGTGTGTGAATGTTACTTTTCGGTAAAGTTAAATTCAAAAGGAAATCCTGTTTTTTGAGTTGCTAAGCCTTCAGGTCTTCGTAGCAAGCTCTAAAGACCGGAGAAAATCGGCTTCACATACTGTCTCCAGGGCCGAGGCCACCATTTCCTCTTCCTTGTGAGATTGAAGCTCAATTACCATGACGCCACTGTCAAACACACGGAGCCTGAAAACCACAGGTGCGAGAACAAAGCCAGGAATTATCTAGGATATCCAACTGCTGAAAAGCAGCACATCTTTTATATCTTCTTTTATGCCCAGGTCTGAGGGCAGTATTAAACAAAACAACATTTAAAACATATTGAACACAAGGGACAATGGCATACCTAAACAGCTCATGAATACACAGATAATCAAATTATGAACTAGAGTCTACATGCTAAAGAAAATGCCTAGCTTTTTTTTTAGATGGAGTTTCGCTCTTGTTGCCCAGGCTGGAGTGCAAATGGCATGATCTTGGCTCACCGCAACCTCTGCCTCCTGGGTTCAAGCGATTCTCCTGCCTCA